GGTACTACAATTAATTGTGAGGTCCATACTCGGCTACTACAATTAATTGTGAGGTCCATACTTGGCTACTACAATTAATTGTGAGGTCCATACTCGGCTACTGCATTTAATTGTGAGGTCCATACTCGGCTACTACAATTAGTTGTGAGGTCAATACCCGGCTACTGCATTTAATTGTGAGGTCCATACTCGGCTACTACAATTAGTTGTGAGGTCAATACTCGGCTGATACAATTAATTGTGAGTTCCATACACGGCTACTACAATTAATTGTGAGGTCCATACTCGGCTCCTACAATTAATTGCGAGGTCCATACTCGGCTCCTATAATTAATTGCGAGGTCCATACTCGGCTACTACAATTAATTGTGTGGTCCATACTCGGCTACTACAATTAATTGTGAGGTCCATACTCGGCTAATGCAATTAATTGTGAGGTCCATACTCGGCTACTACAATTAATTGTGAGGTCCATACTCGGCTATTACAATTAATTGTGAGGTCAATACTCGACTACTACAATTAATTGTGAGGTCCATACTCGGCTACTGCATTTAATTATGAGGTCAATACTCGGCTACTGCAATTAAATGTGAGGTCCATACCCGGCTACTACAATTAATTGTGAGGTCCATACTCGGCTACTACAATTAATTGTGAGGTCCATACTCGGCTACTGCATTTAATTGTGAGGTCCATACTCGGCTCCTACAATTAATTGTTGGGTCCATACTCGGCTACTATAATTACTTACGGTGTACTTTATGCCAAGGCCCATGTAATGGCACATTTTACATTGTGTACGTAAAAATTATTGCTGCAAAATTTTCTGTACATAGCTTTCGAATGAGTGAAATGTTTAGGGAAGGGATGCCCATATGAGGTACTTAGTATATCTTCTGAAAATATTAGATGTATTACAAAAGAAGTTGTGGCTGTTTTGTGACTGCTTGATAGCTTTGTTGTTTTGCACAGACATTCAACTGTTAAAATTCAATTTTATACATAATCTTTGCAGTTCTTTAGTGCTTTTTAAGATACTTTTGCTATTTCTTTCATATTGTGAGTTGCCTCAAATATATATGGTTTATATTTATATAGACACCGTGTGACAACTTCGAAAAGCTCTTCATACGAACCGATGTAAGCAAAATTTCCCTTTTAATTTTTGATTACGCACAGGCATTGTTTCAAGGCTTTATTTCTCAATAAATAATTGAAATGCGATTATCATTTTTGTCACTTCAATTATTTTTGGAATGAGTATACTGGTGAAGATATAAGAGGTATGTAATATTGCATAAATTCTTCCTTTAGATAAACTCGTCAGAAAATAAATAAAAAAAAATATAACAGAACAAAATGCTCTTTTATTAGAAGTAGATGAAAAGTACGTCATAAATGGACAGATGGCGTGCATTATGATTATATAAACGTCAAGATTATCCAATGGAAAAAAAGATGTTGCTGTATCATAAAATGAGCCGCGTCACGACAAAACCAACATAATGGGTTTGCGACCAGCATGGATCCAGACCAGCCTGCGCATTCGCGCAGTCTGATCAGGATCCATGCTGTTCGCTGTCAGTTTCTCTACTTGTTATAGAGTTGCAGGCTGGTCTGGATCCATGCTGGTCACAAATGCACTATGTTGGTTTTGTCGTGACGCGGCTCAAATAAGAAGTATATAAATTTTAAAAATGTACATTTTAAAAATGTATCGCGTTTTGTCTATTGACCTTATTCACAAAACGGTGTCCGTTCCAAAAGAAGTGAGCGAGAGAGAAAGTGAAAAAGAGTATTGTGTCATTTTTAGACATTGTCTAATATTAGTTCAAAGGAATCTTGTTGATCGCATGAACATTTTATCATATAATCTGTGAAGGTTTATTTTAGGAGAAACTTGATTGAAATATCATATTATAACGTATTCTCATATTGTTTCAGAGCTTTTTATGTTGTCTTTTTATTGTGACTGAAAAAAAATCCACAGTTTCTAAAACCAAATTGAGCGTAGTAATTTCAGGTAGAACTTTTACTCTTTCAAATAAATATTGTCTTAATATAGATGTCGTCTGCTATCAGGGGAAGTATGCTCTTCAAGTAAAGTACGTTTTTGTTTATAATAATTAAACAATAAATGATTTCTTATTTCTTCAAATATAGATTGTACTTTAAAGATACTTTTCACAGCAAGACATCAATTAACAGGTATATGCTTAAGATCGATATTTAGATCTGCCCGCCCGCCCGTCCGCCTGTCAGCCCACCAGTCCACTTGCCTGCTCGCACGTTGGCCCACCTGCCTGTCCGCTGATTACACATGCGTTTATTCTGATCAAGCTTCTTCCGCATTATCGGCTGCTAAATTATTCGACTCATGTAAGAATGGCCCCTCGGTAAATGTTCAATTCAAATAAGGTGAGATCTCTTAAGGTCAATGCAAATAAAAAGACAAATACATGTAGTTCAAAATCGCGAGAGATAATAGATAATGCAACACTGTGCCCCCCCCCCCCCCCCAGCACCGGCATAAGCGGTATTTAAACTTTACCGCTATAAGTATTTGAATAAGGTCGTAACATAACAACGCAAGTCGTGTTTTATATTAACACTATTTATATTCATAGCACGTGTTTTGTCTGATATTTTAGATGTTTAAACCTGTTATGATACATTGTCTTATTTAAAAATATATCGTACTTTTCTTAGGGTTTTGATGTCAATTTTACAGGGGAAAAGGACCTATATTTAAGAATGGTTTCAATTTTCTTGTTAAATGACGTCATCTTGTAGATAATTAAAGCTTGTATTAGGTCAGAGTGAATACATATATAGATTATTTTATACTTATATATACAGAAACGCTGTTTTCCCGAAGCCGTTCACATGGTATTATGACATTTGAAGCAATTTAGAACTTTCTTTATGACGATTTACGATGCTTAGATAGATAATTATTTTTTCTTGGAATTTGCTTCCTTGTTTGAGACATGGTGACATAATCAGGCCACCAGTTGAACTTTTTTGTTTAAAACCACACTTATACTGTATCATATTCCGAACCCTATTAGAGATGTTAATAAATCAAAGCGCTGAAAGAACTAGAAGCCGGAGAAGCATAAGAGTTATATAATAACAACTTTTGAGTGTTAATACGTCACTAAGCTGCTTTGAAAAGTGAAATTCGTCATAACAGCGGTACTAAGCACGTGAATAAAAATAAACCGAAGTTTCCGGTAGTGATAAAATGAAAAAAATAATATTGTTTTGAAATGTTATTTTAATTAATTCTAAATGTGTTTTGTACTAATTTACTGGTACACATGTCACTTATATTAACAAATAAAATATTGAAAAGTACGGTCAATTTTGAATAATTTTAACATTCATCCGCATCTGATTTTCCTGACAGTAAGTGGGTTGGTTGAAAAATACTCACCTGTTTTCAAATTCGTTCCCTAAATCTAGTGCTTCCTGCTGGCTTTGCAAGTTTAACAAATCTTTTGAAGTTATGAAATAAGCGAAACAATAATATCCTCATCAATACAAAACAAAACATAGATAATGAACCAACCTTAAATGAACAGAATTTGCACAAGACAAGGAAAGAAATTGAATTTGAACATCACAGTATTGAACAAATGGCAACCGATGAAGATAGACAACAGTAGATAATTATAAAAGGAACACCGATGGATAGCATCTTGCGGCAAGCACCTCTATTACATTAACTATATTAAGGTGCAATATATGTTATCAAAACCTCCTTTTATGTGGGTTTCCCCCCTTTTATCATAGGGAACATACGAACGTGTCCCGTTGAAGCTTCACGTTGCACTACCGTTTACAATAACGTTACGCTTATTGTCAATATATGTATTGAATTCCGGGATTTGAAAAGCCGGCATTTGCAGGGTTTGAAATGTCTTCAATTGTAAATTTAATGACTGATCATGGATTTTTATGACACGCAATGGACTACGGAACTTCAAAAATAACCTATTGTTTTTGACTAATGTTTTTTACTAATTGCTTTAGCTGTTTGCCATGTGTCTCCAAAAGTAAGATATTAAATCGTATCTAAGACCTTGATATTTGCCGCGATCGACCACGAACCGTTTATCCTACACTAAACGTTATAAAGCTTGAGGTTGCTCATATTTTCATATCTAGTAAATATTTGAAATATGAACAAGTTGATTTACTATTGCACTTCAACAAACCAAGTGGCATAAATATCATATTGTCGTTTGACCTTCACTACACTAACCACTTACCGATCTAAATATACATACGTATACAATGTACTAATAACAATTATCTTTTACCAACTTTATACTATCAAGACACATCACACATTACTGATGAAACTAAACACACGAGTAAATATACATATGCTACAATAAAATCACATACCATTCACATATGAAAAGCAAAAGGTTTCAAAGATTTTGTAATCGAGAGCTTTGATACCAATTTAAATGGCTGGCATATGTATTGTTGCCATTCGCAATAATTTATCCCTATACTTAATTTTGTTTAGCAAGAAACAGCGTAAAAGCTGATAAAGAGAAAGTGAGTGTTAAGTGTTTTTTCCCTTTTTTCTATTTGGCTTCCATTTCACTGCTGCTTGGGCATTGGCAATAGAGCTCCTGTGGAAGCGTACCTATTCTCATAATAGGTATAAAACGATTCGAGCGACGGAAGGGTACGTGATATAGATTGACTTACCTTGTACATCACCTGGTTCTTGTGCTTTATTGACTTACCTTGTACATCACCTGGTTCTTTTGCTTTATTGACTTACCTTGTACATCACCTGCTTCTTGTGCTTTATTGACTTACCTTGTACATCACCTGGTTCTTGTGCTTTATTGACTTACCTTGTACATCACCTGGTTCTTTTGCTTTATTGACTTACCTTGTACATCACCTGGTTCTTTTGCTTTATTGACTTACCTTGTACATCACCCGCTTCTTGTGCTTTATTGACTTACCTTGTACATCACCTGCTTCTTGTGCTTCTGCCTCCTCATCGGAACCTTGCTCTTCTGAAAACAAATAAGTTTACAAACGTTTATCAAAATGTATTGAACCCTATATTATGTCCAAACGAAATTCTCTCACCTGGACATAACATAATCGGTTAAATATAAAAATAATTCTAAGAATTTCAGGAGGTTAATTGTTGAACGTTTTATAATTATTTGTCAAGCAAATTCAATTTCTTAGATGTTTGAAAGAGCATTATCTGTGTTATATGGTCATGCTCACTGATTTCGAAGGACTTGCATCTTAACCATTCTTTTCTACCACCTTGCCATCGTATATTATAGAAACGGTATAAGGACATCATTGTTCAGACACATTTATATTTTGTTCTAGCAACAAAAATGTGTAAATAAAAAATGAAATAAGTTTAAATGCACATTATAATCTGTCTCCCAGAGCATACATGATTGAGTACAATAAAACAATCATATCAGCTAAATTTCCTTGTTTAAAAAAGTGATCTCCGCTCCAAAAATAACATCATATCTCAGTTTGGTTCGATTCCTTTCAGTTGTTTTTAGGCCCCTTGACAAGCCATCCCATTTATCAAATATGTATGTATGTACAGTATAGATATATAAATATACAGCTTATGAACAGATATAGTATCATGCAATGATGTATTTTATAATTATATAACAGCTATAAAAGTATTCAAGCTAGAAAAAGAACCCAATCGTACGATAATTAAAAAAAACATTTTTATATATACATGTACACTCATTTACACTGTAATCTGCTCTTTTAACAGTTACCATTTTTGTATAAAAAATCAGTATCTCATTTCCTCTTGTTCATGCCTTAAAATCACAACAACATCTATACGTGTAACAATATAGTTTGATGCCGTTCAAGAAAACCAGGACGATATTTTTCTCACCAAAATGTATACCTGAGGACGCTTTGTATAGGTTTTAATGAATGGACATATAATATCAATATATTATAACACATCTGTTTTAACCTATTCATTACCGTCAATTTGACACCAGCATATCTTAAATTGATTTAGTAATAAGGAAAAAATCGCATGATGAAAACAATGCTTCAAAAATCAAAATTAACATTTTTGACTCCTTTTGAATATATTTGTTAACTTTACGAAACTTAATGGTTATTGTAAAGATATGTTTTTTTGTTGTTGTTTTTTTCTAAACATTTATATTGTTTTCGTAGCGGTACCTCTGTTTCTGAAATAACTGAAATTTTCACTCCTTTCAATATTTAAGTTAACAGTCGAATTATTAATGTTTTCTGTGAATGAAATGTAATGAGATGTGTAATAATGTGTAATCATGTTATGGATGAGGAGCGAAATGCTAATATCTAAAAAAATCATGTTCTGTACTGTTCTATGTGTAAATTGAATTTTATGTTATACTGGACAATAACAACCTAATAAGTTAATACGAGCCAATGTTCAACATTAAAAGTAACTAAATTTGATAAATTTCAAAATATTCGTAGCCATACATAATTAAAACAAGCAAATTCTTTGAATTTATATCCCCCGCCGAGTACTGGTTATTATTAACACAACAACTGAAGACATAAGGCTTTATTTATATATTAATCATGGCATAAACAGTAATATTCTTTGAACATGATAAATATTCAGGGCAAAAGCAGAGCCATAACTTTGTGTTAAATAGTAAAATCTGGAAATGCCAATGAGATGTATGCATACTACATGACTAATCAAGGGCCATAAATCTGAGTTATAAGTATCTGACTGGAACAAGGCGACTATATGCACATCTCCTCTTAGTATCCCATAAAGTTTCATTGAATTCCAGCCGGTGGTAGCAGAGAAGTAGCGAGATAACAAATATTTTTCTATATGGATACTGCATGACTAATCAAGGGCCATAACTCTAAGTTAAAGTGTCTGACCGGAACAAGCCCATGATATGCGCATCTCCTCTTGGTAGTGCGGAAACGATTTTTACTCTATATGCATACTACATAACTAATCAAGGGCCATAACTCTGAGTTAAAGGGTCTGACCGGAACAAGCCGACGATATGCGCATCTCCTCTTAATATTGATGATTCCTATAAAGTTTCGTTGAATTCCAGCCAGTAGTTGCAGAGAACTACTCCGGAAATGATTTTTACTCCATATGCATATTGCAAAACTAATCAAGGGCCACAACTCTGAGTTAAAGTGTCTGACCCGAACAAGCCGACGACATGCGCATCTCCTCTTGGTATTGAAGGTTCCCATAAAATTTCGTTGAATTCCAGCCAGTAGTTGCAGAGAAGTAGCGCGGAAACGATTTTTACTCCATATGCATACTGCATATCTAATCAAGGGCCATAACTCTGAGTTAAAGTGTCCGCCTGGAACAAGCCGATGATATGCGCATCTCCTCTTGGTATTGATGATTCCCATAAAGTTTCGTTGAATTCCAGCCAGTAGTTGCAGAGAAGTAGCGCGGAAACGATTTTTACTCTATATGCATACTACATAACTAATCAAGGGCAATAACTCTGAGTTAAAGTGTCTGACCGGAACAAGCCGACGATATGCGCATCTCCTCTTGATATTGATGATTCCCATAAAGTTTCGTTGAATTCCAGCCAGTAGTTGCAGAGAACTACTCCGGAAACGAAATTCGGACGGACGGACGGACGGATGGACGGACGGACGGACGAACGGACGGTCAGATGCGCATCTCCTCTTGATATTGATGATTCCCATAAAGTTTCGTTGAATTCCAGCCAGTAGTTGCAGAGAACTACTCCGGAAACGAAATTCGGACGGACGGATGGACGGACGGACGGACGGACAACGCCAAAACTATACCCCCCTCCCGATTCCATCGGCGGGGGATAATTATGGAGCTACCCGTGCACGCAGGAATATTTATCAACACGTCGTTTTCATTTGCGCTATCTTACTACTGGCATGTAAACGACCAACCAAGAACTTGACAAAGAAGGGTGACGACATTGCGTCAAGTAACAAGACACTGCAAATCCTTTTCATGTACAAGCAGGAGGAAAAAGTAAATGATAATTTCAAGACACCATGATCCGATGATCAAAGCTCGTGTCGTCCGCCGGCGATAAAGGACTGCTCAACAAAAATGCAATTTATTGTTTTACACCTGATGTTCTTTAACGGACTTTGTATGTACAATTTTTTTTAAAAAAATATTTTCAATTGTTTAAGTTTATATTTTATGGTGTAAGTATCTTATTCATATTCATGAATTGTTTACTTATAGGCCTAACGAGGCCGGATGTTGTTATTTGTAGTTTCCCTATATTGTACATAACATAATGTCACTCTAATTAAATGTCTCTATAATACAGGCGTGTATTTACAAAGTATTTTAGTATATAAAGAAATTAATTTCTTGAAAGAACTATTATATAAGGCGTTTAAAAAACAGCAACAGTAGCTTCTCCCGACTGATTTGAAGGGTAGGTAAGAATGTTGAATCGAGAAACTTTTTGAATGATTTTGGAATAATTGCTTTGATACTAACATAAACATTTATACTAACAAAATGACAGATAAATTATTAGATATTGCCAAAGATTGTATTCCTAATAAGATGATATATGTTCGCCCTACCGATGTTCCGTGGATAACAAGTACTATACGAAGTCAAATACGAATAAGTAAACGATATTATAAAAAAGCTAAAGTTAAACAAACAACAACTCACTGGCAAAAATTCAGACAATTTAGAAATAAATCTACGTTACTGATCAGGGAAACAAAATCAAATTATTACTGTTATATGGCAAATAAACTTAAAGAACAATCATTATCTTCTAAGGATTGGTGGAAAACTCTAAAAACATTTATTTCATCTACAACCAGTCAAACAATACCCCCACTTAAAAGCAAGGCAAACAAATTACATTTTTCTTACAAAGAGAAGGCAAATCTCCTAAATGAATATTTTCTTCAGCAGATACAAGTCGACAACTCAGATAAAGCTGTCCCCGATCTTGGTCCTCGATTGAATGGAAATATATTATCTGAACTGGTTCTTACTCCAGACGAAACACAATCAGTCCTTAAATCTCTTAAAAACCAACAAAGCATCTGGTCCTGATGGAATCATTACTACGATTCTAAAAGAAGCTTCTCAAGAACTTTCTGTTCCCTTATGTAACTTATTAAACTACTCTCTCCAAAGTTGTATCATACCATCTTCTTGGAAAGAAGCTAATGTAACTGTAATTTTCAAAAAAGTTGATCCATCTTTACCTTGTAACTATCGTCCTATTTCACTTCTTAACACCATGGAGAAAATATTTGTAAGACTTATATTCAAACATGTCTTTAACCATACGCAGGAGAACAACTTCCTTACTTCAGTTCAATCAGGATATATACCAGGCGATTCAGTAGTCAATAAATTAGTGTCTATTCACGATACTCTTTGCAAAGCCCTTGATAACGGGCTATTGGCTAGTACGAGTTATTTTCTTTGACATCAGTAAAGCTTTCGACCAGGTTTGGCATAAGGGTTAACTTACTAAATTGAAACATGCTGGAATTTCTGGAAAGGTCTATACTTTATATATTCCAATATTTAAGAGATAGACAATAACGTGTTGTCCTTTCTAACTCTAAATCATTTATTGGTTATCTTTCAGCTGGTGTTCCCAAAGGCTCAATTTTTGGTCCTCTTCTCTTTCTCATATTTATTAACGATATTGTTGAAGATATACAATCTTGTATAAATTTATTCGCTGATGACACTAGTCTTTATCTTGTTGTTGAAAATCCACAACCAGCTCCTATCACATTACAGTCGGATAAAGACATAATTTCATTATGGGCAGATACATGGCTTGTTTCATTTAGTCCTTCTAAATCTGAGTCTTTGTTATTCACTAGAAAGAGATATCCAAATCAACATCCAGAACTACAAATGAATTATCAGACTATTACTGAAGTTTCTGACCACAAACATCTTGGAGTTTATATTTCGAATAACTGCACATGGCACTCACATATAGATTATATAACA